CCTCATATACAGACGTATATAAAAGGCAATCCGAAATGGAAAACAACAAAATCAAAAGAACTAATCATGAAAAAGCTGTTTTGAATACAACTACGAGAAAATCGCTACAAATAATGAAGGATCGCGAGAAAAAAAGCGGTCAGCTTCTGGAAACGTCTCCTTCGAGATTAAGCTCCGACTATAGTACGCAGTACAAGCTGAAGCCAGGCAAGTCAGCACATAAAGTTTGAGTCAACGACATTGTTTGGATACTCGAACATTTCACGACAGAAATTTGACCAATCAGTGTTTTCGTGCTAATATGGTTTTGAGGCTTTCTGAATTAGCACGTTCAGAGAGTCGAGAAAACACACTTTAATTGAAACTTTTTTTTACAATTTTAGAACTGCTCGAGAATATTGTTGATAAAGATATTTTGTTTTCAATTTTGACATTGTGATTTTTACGATGAAAATTTTAGCTGAAGTTTTGCCAAGTACTGGTAGCTAACGTTTTGCTTCTTTTGAAATACTTGCAGCAAATTTTTTTATTTAAAATCTTTTTTTGTACATTTTTCAAAACGTACCTTAATTACAACTTCAAGAACTGACAGTTAAAGTGGCAGATTTGCTTTGAAATTTTTTCGCGGACTATAACTTTGAGCAAATAAGAAAAATTTGAAAAGAGCTGATTCAGGTGAAAAAACTAGCAGAATAATTCATCTAAAATCAATGTCGATTCACTGGTGAAGGGAGGAACTAATTGAAAAGGTTATCGGGCTTGTTTCCTTGTTCACCTCAATTTTATCTGTCTTTTGATCAAAAGAAACAACCAGCAATTGCAAAAAGTTAATGAAACAGATTTAAAATGAAAAGTTCTTTTTCTTTAATAAAGTGTAGAAAAATCATTCAAAATTATCAAAGATCACCGTCAACCAAAGAATAGACAGATTCGAGTTTCTGCTCCCACTCTCTCAAGTCGTAAACAAAAGACCCAATCAGCAGACCAGATTTGAGTCAACGAAATGCTTAGATAGTCAAAGTTTTCAGGCCAAACAATACTTTTACCGCGAATATCAGCTGGTAATATAACAAGAAAACAAGATAGCTTGCTCTTCTCAGACAATAGATTCAGGATACTTTTGACACACTTGAACAAGTGGTAAGCAGTTATCATTACCGTCAACCGGCTCATCTGGCACCCAATGAGATCTCTAGTTTGCATGTTCCTCTAGTTTAAAAGGATTCAAACTTTCGGATATCCAATTGTCTAAATTTGATGAAGATCCTCACAAATGGAATAATTGATTTCTACTGTTGCGAACTGCGGTTGAAAACATTCCAAAAATTGCTCCGGTTGAAATGAAAAAGTATTTGCAATCATTATGCATTGAAGACGCCGAATGTTTGATTGAAAGATTCGCTACAGCTTCAGTCAGTACAACTAAGCAATTGTTTAACTTACTCGACGAATTGGAAATCACGAAGTTATAGTCTCAGCTTTCATTGAGCAACTCAAGGATTTCGAACGACCTCAAATGAGAAATCCTTTCATTTTGTGAAATTTGCAGCCTTTCCTCGAAAGCTTGTAAACAGCTTTAGGCAAGCAATTATGACGCAGATCTTGCGTCGATTAAGCTCTCAAGAATATCTCGGAGAAAACTTCTTCCCGGGATTATTTTGAAAAAAGAAGGGTTTTGCAATCTTGGCTTAGAGTACGCTACTTTGATTGACTTCTCTAACTGGCTCAAAATTTATGCAAAAGCCTCTGAAAACAAAAAATTGCACTCTGGTGAATCATTTAGAGGTAGATCATATTTTGAAGGTTATTTCAAAATCAACAAAATGGGAAGCTCATCAAAAAAACAAATTCTTTCACCTCAAATTAACGGAAAACCAACTCGACTTTTCTTATTGGCCCGGCTGATCAACAAAACTACAATTTAGGTCGTTGACGGAAGTTTTTAAAATTCTCAATTGACAAACGAAAATAGTTCGGTCAAACTTAATTCGCTCTGATTCAACTATTTGTATGGTCACAAGTTGAATGACTGTAAATCTGAATACCGATGCACAGTCAATAATTGTGGCAAAAACACCACTTACTGTTGCATGAAACAAAAACAGTTGCAGATAAATCTCCAAATATTCAACAATTAAGCAATGTCAGTGTTGATGCCCTGTTGTTCCAACTCCATTTAGTGGCGATACATTGAACCCGGAGGCACTCTATCAAGTTAAAAATGAACTTCAATTTATGCCCGTAGTTCTTTTTAATGAAAACAATTTATGCAGGTGTCACGAAAATATGAACATTTGCAGCCGTTATGCGTGCATCTGACAAGCAGCAGCTGACGAGCTACAATGCATTCCAACGCATACAATCACTTTGAATGTGCATGGCGCCTTTTCGAAGGATACTAGGCACTTCTTTTTTAAACTTGAGCATTGGAAGCTTTATCTCTTCTTCTTAAATCAAGCTATTACTGGGTTGAAAATCGTCATTTGAAAAGCTTTTTTAAAACAACTATACAACAAAATTGCTCATTTCAACCATTTTGAGCCACATTTACTTCGAATACAACAATATCAACATTTTGATCGCAGTGGATGCCTTTTGAATCCTTGCCGAAGGTGATAGTGAAAAACAACCAATTGATTGTCATTTCGATAAATTCTAGGTTGGACTACAACTGGTTCGATGATTCAAAATTTCCTCAGTGACAAATCTCCACATCAGACAAATAATTGCGATGATACGAAATACTCTGATCAATCCAGATTAAGTGAATTAGTTGAAAATCTGTAAAGTTTTTAAGAGACGAGAAAGCAATCAGAATCAGCATCTCCTCAGCACTCAACAAAAAAAGAAAAATTTCTCCACTTTATGCAAAATAGTTTCGTTCTTGATGGAACAACATATCAGATGAGCCTTTTGCCTTTTCTCTTGTGAAATAACAAGGTCTCACCACAGCGCGTTTACTCACTAGCTAAAGAACAATTGAAATTTTTGCAGCGCCGAACACAGAAAGATCCTCTGCCTAATAGAAAAGGGTATGAAGCAATGCCAATACATTAAACTGTTTTTTGGTTCTAAGTGGTGATCTTCCGGCATCGAAATTTCAGCCTTGGAGCTAACACGAAATTTTATTTGCATGTGCCAATCCTAAATCATGAAACTCATTAACGAAAGTTTCTGTTTGCTTGATTTTGTCCACTCTTCCAGTCTGTCACAGCAGTTGATGATTGCGTTTTGGCTCGTAAAATTTTTACTAGATAACAGTGGTTTCAAGCTGACAGTTGTTTCAAAGAGTCCTGTAGCTCTTCAACCACTTGCTGAGTTTCCAATTAATTCTGGTAGAAGGTTATCAAAAATTTATGTTTTATTAACTGGTTTTTACAATTGTTTAACCATTTCATTCTCTTTCCGCTAGCTAAAAAGTAACCACCACAAAGCTCTAAAACAAAATCGACAAATAATTTCAGAAACATTTTTGAAGTTTTGAAGTTTTTATTTTCTTCTATTTATTTTTAGTTTAAAAATTTTGTGTAGTCGGGACATTTCGTGCTATTTTCATAGCAAAGGGCTATTTTCATTTTGCCTTGAAAAAATACCTAGACAACTCTAACTAGTCAACGCACATAAATTGCCATACAATCGGGGACACAGTCACCTACTTTTAATATGAGCATTACCAACGTTCCTTTCAATGTGCAGCGGCAACGAGGCTTCTAAAAGAAGTATGCAGACTTCATCGGTGAATTTGGAAAAATCGATAACATTTACCACGGCGAAAGACCCTCTCTTTAGCGGCAACTTGAGCTGGGCATAATGGTTCAGCTTGCTAACGCCCGGAAAAATATCTGCGGCTCGTTGCGAAACCCAAAACTTATACATTCTGAGGATGTGTGAAATAACCTTTTTTGAATCTGACAGCTGAAGGTAGTTTTTTACAGAAAAAAGGAGGAAACTTTTTACTATACTTTCTATTTGTTTGCTATCCAAAAGTTACTGTGTTTATTGAATTGACAAGCAATTCGAAATTCAAAGATCTGCAGGTTCACATTATTCCGTATCACTGAAGCTCGCACTACCTGGAATACAACTAAGACATTGCAATATAATATGAATTGAATAATTGAATTAAGAAAAGAAAAATTTGAGAAAACACTTGAAAATGTGTTGAAAAAGCATAGATCAACAAAAACACCTTGTCTCGATCGAGGTTCAAAAACACCGTTAAATAAGCATGGGTGATCAATTCGATTATACTTCTGATATTACCCCGTTAAGGCGAAAACAATTGTTGTCAGTTATAACTTCGAGCTAAGAAATTTTTATAATCAAAACTGAAACACATCCTTGTTGAAACGCCAACAATGGAAAAACGATTGCGCCTCCCAAACTACGCAAAAACAGTAGACTAGAACAATTTAACAGAGGCTGAAACTATAAATTAAAAAAACTGAACAAAATAAGAGATAGTGATTTCTTTTAAATTACAGAAAGACTTTGAAAAACAGTACAAAATTGCTTAAATTGGAAGGTAAGTCAATGATTTGTAAAGTAAGCCGATAAAAACCGTGCCAGGTAATATAAATTGCAAATGAAAAAAAAACAGAACATGAGACGAAAAAAATGGGCGAAAACCACGAACAATTTTTCAAGAAATTTAATTGAATTGATTGCTACCTAATATGAATCTCGGTAGTTTGATTTGAAACTTCAAGAAATTGAGCTTGGCAGCCTGCGCGTGTCAGCCGGCACGAAATTTGTAAGAAAAAAGTCTCGTTCGCCGTTACAAGATACTGGCTCTAACCAGTGTAAACACACTTTGATAAAGCACGAAAAATATATTTTTTTGTAAAGTTGGATATCTTTCTGGACCGGGAATTGTTATCGCAACCAGGACCTCATGGTTACTCAAACTCATCCTTAAAGCACGCTTAGTCAAACCTTGCCAAAACCATAAGAACGAAAAAATTTATTGAAAAATTGTGGGCCATGAAAATTCCACCTACCTATGGACGTCGTGGCAAGTATCGCGGTCACCATTATTAAGGTACTTCTGATTAATCTGCTCATTTCCAGGGCAAGTCTGTCGTTCACTGGTAAAAATAATGGTAACAAAAGCCTTACAAAATTCTGAACGAACTGGAATTCATTTAAAAAGTTAGTAATTTGTGACTTTAAAATTGTTGTTCAGTTATCTATTGCAGACAATTCGTCGAAGGTGTTCAATCCATTGGACGCATTTACTGCAAAGGAATTTTACAACAAGAAGACAAATTTTTCTTAAATATTTTTAATTAAATTAAGTTTTAATATATGGCTCAGGCTTGATTCTAGACTTGGTAATATCATTTCTAGCATAATTTTGAGTCCAATAACTCGAATAAAATTGTGAAACAAATGATTTACTAGTTGTCTTGAGCAGGGTTGAGCAAAACTAAAAGGTTGAATAAATCACAGTTTCAGCCCTGGTCGGAGGTCTTATTTACCAGAAAGATTGTCTTTATTTCCATTTCCAAAATCTCTCAAATTCGTCCTTATTTTTCTTCCCGTGCTGTTGACTGAAGTAAAGGTAAAGCGCGGAAATATGGAATAATAAACTGAAGACAGCAGTAGAATATATTCCTCTTTATTGGGACCATTTCTCTGCCTACTCAGTGATCGGCGCTCTTTCTTTTAAGTAAAAGGTGCCTTCTACCAATATTACTTACTATAATACTTACCAGCGCATTGTATATGCTACTGTCTTCGGCGTTTTATGGTAAGAGAAGAAAATGAGAAAAAAAAGCTGTGGTTGAATGTGTGCTGAACTATCTATCTGGGCCAATGAGAACAGAGGTAGGCAAGCTATTCGAAATACCAACCACGCTTAGAAATCTAATCACTTGTATCTGCAACGGCTAAAAACAGTCCAATTTTCCACCATTTTTGTTTCATTGTTACTACTTTTGTTCAAGCGCCCCACGTACATTCACTTTTACAGCGAACACCCCACAGAAGCTAAGAAAAAGTAAAATATGCAAAAAGTGAAATGTACTTAACAGAACTATACTGGGCTAAAAAGATGGGCGAGAGAGGTTGCATATGTAGTATAGCATGACAAAGAGGGGATAGAAATCTGTGTTCTAGCTTTATTCTGTTATATAGCTTTATAAGTTCATGTCAGCGCTCAGCCTCAAAAAAACCAAGGAGACAATCGCGGATGGTTATATGGGGGAGAAAGGGTTGGCATCGATTCGAGAGACTCTGAGTAGGGGGTGGGGGGTTGATGTTTGTATTTTTTCAAATGTTTCGTGTTGTTATCATTACAGAAATATTTATTTTTCATCCAAGTTAATCGAAGCGTGACCGCTAAAATGAAAGAATGAGAGCGTCATATCACTCTCCTGTTTCGATCAACTCTGTCGTCACATCTCAGGTGGAGAGACTTCTTAGTTGTGACAGGATGCAGAGTGGGAATATAATCGACATTTATTCTGTTCAAAATAAATTCCAATCAGTCGTTCGACACACAATGAGACAGGCTGAGGGAAAACAACAAACATGCGCTGCTACTTGCTGCGATTTATTGTTGACAAAGAAAAAAACACTGGGATTTTCAGTAGGAGCACGCTCTCTCGCAAAGTTATTGCAGATGGCACCGACTAGGCGCCCTTTGGGATCATTTTGGCATCTGCCTGCTTAAGCAAGTATCGTAAAATAGTAATAAATCGAATGATGCTTTAGCTGACATAAAGGTCGATTTTTATGGCCTTAAATTTGACCTAAATATTTGCTCAACTAGTGCAAGGAAAAAGGTCGAATGTTTCGAGAAAAAAACAGCCAAAACTATAGCATAAATTTTTTTTTTTTTTTACAAATATTTTGATATGAGTTTACTAATTTTGGTAAAATTAGACACACAGATTCAAATTATTGCACATATTATCAGGGGCGAAACAACTGAAAAACAGATCGAGATCTTCAACCGAAACAAAAGCGTTGCAGAGCTTCTGGCAATTTTTTGAGAAACAGCCCAGCATGATGTTACTTTAAAAAAGCATTTTTTTTAAAATAACGCCAACAACTATCAAAAAATAACGCTTTGCCGATTCTTAATTATTACAATGGTTCTTAAGGCTTTTCTGAAAAATCTGGGCGTCTTAAATAAAATGAAGAGGAAGAAACTTCGAGCGACCAGGATTTCGAGTTCTCCGGCGATGTCATCTCTATATCCGCCCCCTGTATATTAACTTTTGCTCTCTCGTGCGTGTGCACTAACTTCCCAAAACTTTCAACTGAATGGGCGGACCAAATTGGCTCAAACCGCATAAGACTGTCTATAAGTACCCCTGAGTGCGGTAGATCAGAGTTCTAAGCCATTTCAATTTCGAGAAGCACTCAGCTTTACTTCTAGTGCTTTAGTTTTCTTAAACTTTGCCTCATTATTTCATGTTTGAAAAAAGTAACAAATTTTTTACTCAGTGGTAAATATTGCAGGAAACAATTTACCAGAGTTGAAGGTCAAAACCCGAATTAAAACATATACCGTTCATTGACATCACGCATAACTTCATGCAAAAGCAAAACGTCCGCACAAATGAAGGCTCCCATCCAAAACCATTCGAGTTCAAGCCTCCGTCAATAGTCAAGTTCATATGATGAACAACGTTGAAGCTGCACAGAAAAAGATGCTGGAAACCTCAGGGTTTTTTCTTTTCCTTTCCACATCAGCAGAAGTTATATGTTCAACCAATGCTTTTAAATCAACGTATTGAGTCACGACCGATAGTTTAATCTCATAGAAAAATTTCTGCTCGTGCAACTCCTTAGTCTAATACTGACCTTAATCCTACCCTTAATTTCCTGGTAACGAAAAATCTCTATGAAACACTGGTGAAAGCGAGTTTTGAGATAAAAACCATTTTCAACTCTCTTGTTAAAGGGCGGCCTGGCCTGATCACTAACACTAACAAGAACAAAATAACAAGAGGTTTCAAGATGGATCAAGATTGGTTAGTATTTATTGTTGTTCTTAACGAAAGTAACGGAATATTTGTTCTCGGGGTGGGTAATAAACTATTCTAATTCTATGGTTCTATATGTACAAAGTATGTACATAAGCTTAAAGGTTAAAACGTTAAAAAGAAGTAGTTGAATTAAGAACGTTATAAAGGACAACTGAACTTCCGTTCATATCGACCGATGGTCGTAACTAAACTGGTATTAATTAAAATACCGAAGGTCATTATAAGATACTAAAAACAAATCACAACATTTCCCACCGGGAAAAAAATGAAACTGCAAACTAACTATATAACTCTATATACACCCTTTTTCCCACTCCGAAAATGGAAGAATTTTACAAACTGCGCCCAGAGGGTAAATATACAGAAGCAAAATAAAATCCACAATTGAAAGAGAATATAGCAAATGTACAGGGTGGCTATACAGAATTACAAAATTTACAGTATACGGTAACTAACTAGATAAAACTAATCCACAACATGTACATTAACATGTACAATTGTATCTACAGGTAAAATTAAAAAGTCCGGCGGTAAAATATGGATTACAGAATTGTTTTGTTAAGTTTGAATTGATATGTCGATTACAAGAATTGGTCTTCAAACTCGCCCAATTTAGCCCTCACTTCCGAATCTATAGTCGATGAGATCTCGCTATAGTTGTCCACCTCTAGCGTGGGGTCCTTTGAGGTCGGGTGAGTTAAATTTGAGTCCGAAGAATTCTCGTGAAAGTGAGTCTTCGTGGTAGATGTTGTAAGTCTGACCGTCGGGAGGGAGTTCCTTGAAGACCAGGACAACGTAGTTTCTGCGACGAGAATCTGTCTGGAAGGCGCCTCCGCTAATGGAGTCAAAAGGTCAGAAGGAGAGTTGACCGAGAAAATAGACCTGTGAGAGTCCGGTGTCGGAGAGAACAAGGAAGTTGACGCCCCTAGGTCGTCTTTTTCTTGCACCACGTCTAAAAATCTCCGATTTCCGTAAAACTGTGGGGGCCCACATTTCTGCGTGGTCTAGAGTTTCGGGTCTTTGGAGTCGCGCTGATCGTCTGTTCCGGAATACTGTCTACCATAATTGGATTGTCCTGTGATCCTGCAGTAGTATTCGCATCGTGGATGACAACAAGCTCCCGTGGGTCGTTGTTCACTGTCCTTTCTGAGCTCAGTAGTAGGGACTCGGCAGGACCTGTAATACTTAAGCCCTGATTAGACTCGGTATGGGGATTTTGGGGTACGTTATCATTGGTCACGTCGTGAAAGTAATCCTCGATTATCCCGTCCCACGAATCTAGATTTAAGGAAGATGAACCTGAAGAGAATCTTGGAGAGTCTTGAGTGGCTGTGCTCGCCGTCGGTGCGCTAGTCCCTGCTCTGGTGTTATCCGTTCTCGGGGTGCCTTGGCTCGAGTGACCAGCGGGTCTCGATTTAGCTTTCTTCGGTGGAGAGAGTTTCCTTTTCCCAGCTAAACTCGAATGAGTATGAAAATTATGCCCAGTGGGTGTCTGATTCACTATTATCTTTTTGGGTCCTGGGAGTATTTTTCCTTTTATAGCCAGATCCGATTTACGTAAAACGTGACAGTTGTCGAGAGTAACTGTGTGCTCTGAAGAATCGATGATATCCTTCTTAACCAGATTAAAATATGGGTCTCTATTTTTCCTGTTAGACACCTTTCTATGTAAGTTACCTCCCATTACTGCTTTTCTTTTTGCCAGTGGTTCTGATGTTCGGATAGTGACGTCCGGGGTTGTGGGTAGGCTGAAAGTCCTAGCTAGTGGCATGTTTTCTTCTGGGTCCGACGTGCTGACCTTTTCCTCATCCAAATAGCCATCTTCTGCCCCGTCGTGTAGTTCCCAGTTAGTGGCCCGCTCTTTGGACATTATAGCCTTCCCTTTATCTAAATGGTCAATATTGGACATAAGATTTTTCTACCTAGTGTGCGCTACTCTTTTAAAATGCTTTTCAAGCGGAGTACGGCCGATCGCAGTTTGTTTTGAGATTCTCAGATTCCAGATGATTTTCTCAATCGAATCGTTTAGAGATGGCTTGGGTACTTCGAATGACATTGCCAGTAATTTCGATTTAATTGTGTACACTAGTCTTTCCACTAGCCCATTGGATCTGTGGTCTCCGACAGTGCAGTAAATAATTTCTATATTAAATTTATCGCAGAAGTTTTTGAAATTATGTGATAAGAAGCATGACCCATGGTCGACTCTAATTTTTCTTGGGAATCCGTGGAGGTGACAGTAATTGTTTAGAAGTGAAATTACGTTTCTTGTAGAGGTGTTATTGACAATCTTGGCCGAAGGAAACTTAGTGTAACGGTCAATGCAAAGGGGAATGTATTTGTTGTTACCCCAGCACGCGTCCAACGGTCCCGCAAATTCCAAATTAATTTCTTCGTTCGCGAATGTCAACGTCGGGAGTTTCGAAATATTATGAGTGCCTAGTAACACTTTAAAGTTCTTACCCGCTTTTAGACATTGGCTACATGTTCTCCCGTGATGGTAAATATGCGGCCACCACAATTATTCGGCGAGGGATTTCATCCCAAACTGTCCTGGGTGAGTCTCATGTAGCATCGAAATAAAAGTTCCCCTGATGGTAGCTGGGACGACTAGTTTATTGTCTAGAAAGTGTAGCTCATCCTTCACGTGTAGGTCTTTGGTGTAGTTCTTCATGTAAGTCCCGTGTATGCCCATAGGTCGATTCCTTTTTATCGTCTCTATCAAATCCCAC